CTTCAACTCCCAGAATTCCCCAGCCAGCCATGCTGGCTGGGGAATTCTGGGAGTTGAAGTCCACGCCTCTTAAAGTTGCCAAGGTTGAGAAACACTGATTTAATGCATGACATGGACCCAAATGTCATTTTCGGTCAACAATTCATGTGTGAATGCAGCAAGTGGCATTTAATTCTGAACAGAAGATTAGACGCTTGGTTCGTTGGGTCCAATAACTGATTTGAAACCTTCCGGCCCAATAAATCGTGCGGTATAATTCAACATTTTATTTATTTATCTTTAAGCAGAAGTAGGAACACCTCTTTAGGAGATGTCTACGTTTCATCCATGCCAGGAAACAGGCTTCGTCTAAGATGCTGCTGGTCCGTAAACCTGAACGCTCTATAAATACCCTGTTGCCTTCAGCCCCGTTCACGTGCAAATGTCTTTTCAGCTAAGCAGAGTAAAGACGACGCCGACATTCAAATTTGAGTTTCTTTTCCCATCTTAACCCACAGTGGGAGGATTTGGACCGGAATTGCGCGGCTAAAGAAAGGCTGATCTAAATTTCTGCATTAATTGCCCCCGAGCAAATCAGATTATCGGCCTAATTAAAACACACCATATAACCCCCCCCAAAAAACAAAGCATAAAAGTACAATTCTTTTCTTTAGCTGATTGACCTTCCACACTAACTAGATTTGTGTGCAATACAGGAGGATGTTAACAATGCCTGAAGTTACCCTCCTTGGCCTGAATTTCTGATTTCCAAACGATGCCATCTCAAACTGCATGCCCAGAAATCAGGAATTCAGAGATTCTGGCAGTCTGCATTGAGTGAGTCAAGTTTCTAGTCCTGAGCGATTCTGTGAATTTTTCCTTGTGAGTTTTTCGGAGAGTTTGGGGTAAATATGCTTCCGTGAGGTTTCTTATGGGTTCATAATTGCATTTTCATTTCTAGCCCACTCTCAGCTGGGGTGCAGCAAGGAAGTATATTTCACCTATTCATTGAAGGCACCTTTAAGCAGCAAATGTTTAAAATTTGCACAAGCGCGAGCTCTGAGTTTAGTTTCCGCGGCAGAGGGAAAAGGTAACAAAGAAGACTGAACGGTTGTTAAGGGAAATGTGGGGAATGACTAACGTTTGGGGTAAATATTCCGAAAAGGAATCTGAGGGATAAGCAGCAGACTTGGAGTGAATCTTGCTACAGATTTGGCACGATTATGCAGATGTGCACGAAGGTCCGGTGTTATCTGAGATTAACGCAGAGATGACCGACAACACTGAACCCTCCAAATGATGTCGCCGAGCGGCTTTTAAGTTTAAAGATGTAGTTGTAGAGAAAGAGATGACATCATTTCACAAGATCCCTTAAATGGAGGAAGACGCTGCATATCAACCTATGCAAATTGCACATCTGCTTGGAAACCACGAGTGTTAATAGAGTACTACAGTGCACAGATATGCAAATCGATATGCAAATGCCGCCAGGGTTCCCTCCAGATAGAATGGCAGCATTCTGCGTTATGCAAATATATGCAAAACGCGTTCCCGCACTAGGGCATCTTCAGAGGCCATTTCGTCCCCATTTTCTGCAAACACATTCATTCTTTCTCGAATAAGTCAGTGTGTCTTTCCAAATCCGCCTAATCGTTCCATCGTGGAGACCCGGTGTTTCAAAGCTGGCTTAATTTAAATTTCATGGTTTGATTTTCATTTTTAAGGGAAGGATTTCTATCCTTACAGGCTACGTTACATTTTATTGCATCGTCATAAGATAACAATAGGGCTTGTTTTATCCATCTGCATTCCTGTCGTTAAAGAGCTGGCACGTTTGACTAAGTATCCAAACTCCGAGTGCACGGAACAGCTTTTTAAAGATTTGAACTCGCTTCCCCACAATTGCTTACATGAGCCGTCCACGGGCACAGATTTTTCCATTCGAAATATCGTCTTCTCTCCAAGTTTCAGCCACTCGAAAGGATGCCTTGTTTTTTTCAACGGGGTGCTTACCGTTGAAAATGTTGGTTTCAAATATTTTTATAGGCAAAAATAGTTTATTTCAAATATTTTTGGAGGCATAGGCCCGCAGATGCAGGGAACCGCCCAGAATCTCAGCAAGTGGCAGCAGTCTGGACAGAAAGTAAACTGGGTTAGCTCTAGTGAGCATTTGGATGGAGGACCACCAGGAAGCCCCAAAAGCCAGGCAGGGAGTCAAAAAAAAATTATGATGATGATCATCATCATCATCATCACCACCACTATAGTTTCAGGAAAGCCAATGCCTTTAATGAAAGGAGGGTCTGTCCATAAAGGTCTTCCTTGGATCAACTCCACCATAGTAAGAGATTATAGCAGGGAGGCTTTCAAAACGCCAAACCTGAGATCCAAAATAACTATCCTACGACCATGTTCCACTACCCCAAACCCAAGAAAGAGGAACTACATGTCGACCTGGAGTCGGGGCCCTTATTTTGCCCTCCTTTGAGGCCCACAGGTGCAAACGGGCAGACAGATAGGCAGTGTCGCATAGCGGGTAAGGTGTTGGGTTAGGATCAAGGTTCAAGTCCACTCCCAACCCTGGATCATCAGAGGCCGGTCAGCCCAACCTACCCTGCAGGGTCGTTCTTATGGAGAAAAATCAGAGGTGGGGATACGCATGGAGGGGCCTCTATTCTAATAGCAATAAAAAGGATAAAACCCTGGTAAAATGCAGGAAGAGGAGACCTCGGCCTGATACTAGAAAGCTGCGATTCCTTAGCTGTTATGATTCATCGGCTCAAGGCTTCCCTTCGCCCTGCGACACCAGCGAGAAAAATCCTCCGCAGGAATCAGGATCCGCTTTCGGCTGTTCCCCCTCCACAGCTCACCTCCTCAGCCTTTAATGCTTTCTTTCCCCGCCCCGCTTTCCTTGGCAGGCAGATCCTGGAGAATGGATGCAAGAATCCTGTCTCCAGACGGGCGATGCCTTCCTGGTGGTGTTCTCGGTGACTGACCGGCGCAGTTTCACCAGGGTGCCCCCAACCCTCTTGCGCCTGCGGGCAGGAAGCCCTCGGACCGATCCCCCCATTATCCTGGTGGGGAACAAGAGCGACTTGGCCCGTTCCCGGGAAGTCTCCAGGGAAGGTGAGTTGCCCAACGTTTGTACGGTGGGAGCAGGTTGTCCGGAGGCAGCCATGCATGGGACTACAGCACCCTCGTGCCTGTTGTGTTTGCCACGGTGGAGAGAAAGATGACCTTGATGGAGATACGCAGGAACTGTGCCCTAGGGCAGTGTTTCTCACCCTTGGGAACTTTAAGGGAGGTTGGACACGGTTGAAAGTGGTCCAGTATGATGGGATCCAGCGATGGCTTCTTGAGGAGGGGCAGACCAGTGCCTCCTTAAGTGGCGAAGGGGCAACACTCTCTCTCAAGGATGAATTCACCACCGCTAGAACCCACCCACATGTCATCCCCCAGGCAGCCTTGGCCAACCAGGAGGGATATGGGTCTAAAGGGCAGGTGGCTGAGATCATAGTCATGAGGACCCTGCCCACTTCCTCAGGCCCAACAGGTTCAAACCATTCCTAGATAACAGCACAGGACTGTGCTCCAGGCATCTCCACAAGACCTGCACCAAGGCTGGAGTCTACCATGCTCAGAATTCCCCCAGCATGATTCCACCACCATGACCTTCCACCACCCTGATTCCATCACCATGACCTGCTCAGGACCTGCACCAAGGCTGGAGTCTACCACCACCACCATGATCAGATCAAACCTTAACTGGTTGCAACTGAGAGCCATCTGTGATCTCCAATGGATCCCACTGATTTCCAGAGAGTGCTTGGGGAACTTCCCAGCTATGGAGTCCTTGGTGTTCTCTGAGCTTGGTTGTTTTCTTGCAGACGACTTAGCCAGGTAACAAAATGTCTGCAAGCAAACAACCAAGCTCAGAGAACACCAAGGACTCCACAGTCCAACCCTGAGCTACGGATATTCTCCTCTCTTGGTAATTTCCCAGCTGTCTGGCAGACAAATCTGTTCGATGCCTGGTGAGTCGCTGAAGCAAACTGGATGCTGGGCGGTATTGTCCCAAGTACCCTGTATCTGGAGGGGTCTGTTCCTGGTTGGCACCTTGTGTACTGAGACCCTCTAGGAAATCATACTAGAACCGAGGCCTGGAGCACTAGTGAAGGAAGATGAGAAACAAATCCAACTGCCCTTGATTGCATGGTCATGGTTGAGCCTACCCCTGGCTGATAAGGGAAGCAAAGTGGTTGACTTCTCCCTTGTGGCCTGTATGAGCTGTTGTCCTGAGTCCTTGTTTAGGGTGGCCAACTTCAGTTTAGGGAAGAGTCATTATAGAGATCCTGCCTGGCTGTGGTGTTCAGTCTGGAGAGCAGATTGGATTCTGATGTGCCAAAATCTGGATTCCTCACAGGCAGAGTCTTTGGTGGTGACTAGCTATGTTCTCTGGGACTCCTTTTGACCTGTGATGTCCGAGGAAGTAAATTGAGTGCTGTCCAGAGTGTCCTGTGCCACATGCAGTTTGGCCCTCTGCCCATCCTGGCTCTTGCAAGGAGCAGGTAGAGAAGGGACTGCTGGATCCATGAGGTAGTTAACATCTCTCTACATGAGAAGGGACTGCCACAATCCTGAAGGAGACCTCCGTCACCTCCCCTTCCTGAAGAGGCCACCTCTGGGTCCTGCAGTCCTAGATAACTCTCGGCCAGTCTCTAACCTCTCTTTGGGGGGAAGGTTGTGGAGATCAACCACACGGCCCCCTGGAAGAAGCAGAGCTGAAATTAGAAGGTGCTGGTTCTCAACAGCAGCACCGTGCTTTTAAATAGCTTCCCCGTGGAAGTTGAGCTAGTCTTCTTTTTGATGGCCTTCAGAAGGTAGCTAAAAACTGACAGTTTCAGGAGAGCATTCCAGCGATGCTCACCTACTGTGCACCTTTTACATGTTTATTTGCTATTGTGATGGTCCATGCGGTGTGTTCATGTTATAGCCTTCTTACTTTGTCCATTTTTGTTGGAATCTTATCATGGATCTTAGCCTACCTTAGGCACCTCCGGGAGCTGTGAGATTGCAGATGGATAGAAATCCAATAACGAACTAAACCAATAAAGACCATTTTTAGAAACCAGGGGTAGAAACCGATTTACAATCTTGAGGGGTCAAAAAAAAAAAAAAGGCCAAAAACCCAGATTGCTAAATTGCTTCCTCCTCCTCCTCCTCCTCCTCCTCCTCCTCCTCCTCCTCCCTCCTTCCTCCTCCTTCTCCTTCTCCTCCTTCTTCCTTCTTCCTTCTTCCTCCTTTCTCCTCCTCCTCCTTCTTCCTTCTTCCTTTTTCCTTCTTTCTCCTCCTCCTCCTCTTCCTCCTCCTTCTCCTTCTCCATCTTCCTTCTTCTTTCTTCCTTCTTTCTCCTCCTCCTCCTTCTCCTTCTCCATCTTCCTTCTTCCTTTTTCCTTCTTTCTCCTCCTCCTCCTCCTCCCCTCCCCTCCTCCTCCTCCTCCTTCCTTCTTCCTTCTTCCTCCTCCTCCTCCTTCTCCTTCTCCTTCTCCTTCCTTCTTCCTTTTTCCTTCTTTCTCCTCCTCCTCCTCCTTTCCCTCCTCCTCCTTCTTCCTTCTTCCTTCTTTCTCCTCCTCCTCCTCTTCCTCCTCTTCTTTCTCCTCCTCCTCCTCCTTCCCCCACCCCAGAAGGCCGCAGCCTGGCGGTGATGATGAACTGCAAACACATTGAGACCTCAGCAGCCTTGCATCACAACACGGAGGAGCTGTTCGAAGGGGTCGTGCGCCAGATCCGCCTGCGCCGCTGTCGGCGCGAGGGGGATCCCTTGAGCCGGGAGGGAGCCGTCGGCCGTCGCGAAAGCATCACTAAAAAAGCTAAGCGGTTCCTCTCCAGCCTGGTGCCCCGCAACGGACGCTTCTTCAAGCAAAGATCCAAATCCTGCAACGACCTTTCAGTGCTATGAACGTGCAGCCTTCTGAAGACCCCAGAAGTTTCTCCAAGGAAAGACAACCATCTCTTGCTTCTCCCGTCCCCGAACGCACTGCAGGACAGCGGCCGCCGCCACCCCTCCGGACCCTCCGAGCGTGTGACAAGTTGCTCCTCTGAGGCTCAACTCTCTAATCTGCTTTGATGCATCACTTATCAAGCTTCACTTTTTGCACAACACTGAATTATTAGGAGGACCTTTGGGGGGGGGCGTGTGTGAAAAAAGATCCCACCGTAGAAGGCGGTTTAAGATACTCCTGGAGGATTTGGAATTGGGCCAAGATGGAAAGAAGTGCGCACCTCCTCATCTGCCTGATAAATCTCCCTCACCCCCCC